TCTTGTGAACAATTGACATTTTTAAAGAGATAAGCTCATCTTGATGTTACACTCATTGAGACCTTTCATTTGAGTACCCACATCAATTTTTCATATATTTATATATTTTATATATGTATATATATGAAAAATATATCAAAAATGCATGTGGGTACTCAAATGAAAGCTCTTGATAAGTGTAACATCAGGATGAGCTTATATTTTAAATAATGTCAATAATTAAAAAATGATCTTGTATCTTGTGAACTATTGACATTTTTAAAGAGATAAGCTCATCTTGATGTTACACTCATCGAGACCTTTCATTTGAGTACCCACATCAATTTTTCATATATTTATATATTTTATATATATTATATATGTATATATGAAAAATATATCAAAAATGCATGTGGGTACTCAAATGAAAGCTCTTGATGAGTGTAACATCGGGATGAGCTTATATCTTTAAAAATGTCAATATTTAAGAAGGTACAGTGCAATTTAACAAAAGTCATTATTTAATAAAGTAAAATTTTAGTGGCTGCAAGGTTGCTAGTATAGAATAAGTCAATTAATTGTTATTATTAATTTTATAAATTTTCCAGAGATGGCTGGTTAATAAACAAATGAAATTAGAAGGAGGTTTTCAAGGACGTACTAATAAATTAGTGGACGGCTGCTACTCGTTTTGGCAAGGAGCTTCATTTCCTCTGATAAATGCGATCCTAGCTAAAGAAAAAAAATATTTCAATTCAAACAATCACTGGCTCTTTGATCAAAAAGCACTTCAAGAGTATATTCTTGTTTGCTGTCAAAATCCTTATGGTGGATTTTTAGATAAACCAAAAAAGTACTTGATTTTTTTTTTCAAATTTTATTAACTGCTATAAAATTTTTTATTAATAATAATAATAATAATTTATTTAATTTTACAGAAATCGTGATATTTATCATACTTGCTACGTACTGAGTGGACTCTCGATAGCCCAAAATTCACCCACTCCGTCAATACTCGGCCAACGGTACATTAATTTAGTCGAATCAACTCATCCACTTTACAACCTTGTGTCTTCATGTGTCACCAAGGCCATTAATTACTTTGAAATACTGCCAATACCTGATTAACATTGATTAATAATTATGATCAACTTAAATTTTTAAAAAATTCAAATCAACTTGTTAAAATTATAGATTATTAAAAAATCCTTACGATGGACCAAGAATTTATGAGCAACATTCAAAATGCCAATTAAATTTGAAATTTTCACTTTAATGTACACTAATTATTAATATGTTGTTTAATTAAAATAATTGTAAATTTTAAAAATTAAATATTTGAAATAACTATTGTAGAATTATTTTTTAAGCTTAATCTTTATAATTATTTGTCTAAATAATTTTTTTTTTTTTAATACTCTAATATTCTTTATTATTTATACATATAATTAATCATTTGAACATTTTTTTTTTTTTATAATTATTATTTTTAACACAAATTAAATGAGCTAATTTCAAACATAAAATGTACAATTAACATTGTTGATACGGAATGATAATACATATTTTTTCAAACGCTATTTTAAATTATTTACACGTAAATATTTCATTTAATTAATAATGGCAATTATTATTGTTTTTTATTTTTTTTTTTTTTTCATAATTGGTAAATTAAATATATTTTATTATTTTATTTTAAATAACACATTTAAGCGGTGATGGTTTTTCCATTCTGTAACAAAAAAAAATTTTATTTATTTTTTTTTATAAGACAGAGTTAATTAATATAATTATTTTAAATGTAATCTATATTATTGAGAGGATAAAAAAAATTTTGTGTCCAGGATATTCATATGGTAAAATTGGTTTTTTTCGTGGTATTAAGTATCATTTTTAGGGATATAAGCTCATCCTGATGTTACACTCATCGAGACCTTTCATTTGAGTACCCACATCAATTTTTCATATATATTTTATATATTTCATAAATATATATTGTAAAAAGTTCATAAATGTATAGTTATTTGACAGTCAAAGCACTTTTGTTACACAGTAAAA